CAGTAACGTTCACAAGCCAGGTTTCTAAACAGTATATGGAGACTAATAATAAAAACCACACCCACCAGCAGTCAAAACTTCAAATCTTCTTATTTGAAATTAATTCACTGTAAATTTCAAGCTGAGCTAGGATTTTAAAAGTCATTTATTTTATTTTTTTTTCTAGATTTTCTAAGTCCAGTTTAGAGCTGGGGAGATTGCTTAGCAGTTTAAGCTCTTGCTTAAGCATGGGAATCCCCAGCCCCCATGTACCTAGCAGGTGGACATGGGATATTGCCTGCAATTCTAGTCCCAGAATGAATGCAAAGATAGGCAGAGCAAGCCAACCAGTGAGGCTAGTCGTAGCTTTGAACTCTCGCTTTGATTGAGAGATCTCACCTTTCTGAGTAAGGTGGAAGGTCTATCAAGGAAGATTCTGGCCATTAATCTGGGTCTTCTCCCTCCCTCCCTCCCTGCCTCCCTCTCTCTCTCTCTCTCTCTCTCTCTCTCTCTCTCTCACACACACACACACACACACACACACACACACACACACATTCACATGTACTTGTACATACATATGCACCAATATGTAAGTGAACACATATGCACATATCACATACATATGAAAAAATGAAAAAAAAACCAGCTAATAGAAACACTGCCTATCTGTGAGAGCCCTGAAAACTGAACAAGGTTAAGGGAAGGGTGTTAGGGCCACAAGGTTTTAACAAGGATGTTTATTTAGTTACTAAGAGTTCAGATGTGGAATTCTTCACACATGAAGGTCATTTGATCATTACAAGGGATTAGATGTTATTCTTTTACCTGGAGTGAGTAAGATATTTTAATACTAATTTTTAATCTATGAAAGGTTGGACAATACCCTCCTTGACAATGATGTGGGAAATTCACTAACTGTAATTCTGATAAAAAAAGTTTGTGTGATATTGTCATAAAGAAGTATGTTTTTGGTCCTAGTGTATTGTGCTAGAATATAGTTCTTAAAACTCTTATAATATCCTAAATAATTATAGGGATGCTATGATCCTCACGTGAAGATTAGCCTTTTTGGTTCCTAACACAGACCTTCTAAACTCTTGGAATTTCTTGGATGATAATAATATCCTAATATTAATTAGGATAGTAATTGTCCTAATAGTTGGTTCCTGGATAGCTGTAGGAAGAGGTTGGTCATTAAAGAAACAAGCTGTCATAAAAATCTAGGGTGATAGGGGCTGGAGATTTAGTTAATAATCAACTATGTCTATATGATCAAGACTTCCACAAAAATCCCTGAACTACAGGGTTGAAAGAGCCTCTGGGCTTGCGAACACACCCATTGTGTGTGTGTGTGTGTGTGTGTGTGTGTGTGTGAGAGAGAGAGAGAGAGAGAGAGAGAGAGAGAGAGAGAGAGAGAGAGACCTGGCCTGATTCCACAGGGTGAGAAGGTCCTGAACTCAGATTTTTTTCAGACTTTACCCTGTGCACCCCTTGCTGAGTGCAAAAAGTGCTGATAAGGCTATATTCTTTATCATGTGTTTTGTAACACACCAGTAAACATGTTTCTCTGAAATAAACTATCATAGCAAATTACCGAGCTGGAAGAGATATGGGCTATAAATATGTGAACATGCATTTCTTTTGTGATTGGGTTTTGACACAGAAGAGTACATACCCCAAACCTGTAATGGTCATAAGTTCACACTGGGTTTATGTACTTTGATGTCCACTGGTGTCTCTAGACCCTCTCATGCAAAGAGGATCTACAGTTGAAAAACAACTATTAATCTTAAGTGTTTTACATTGGTATGAATTTTGGTTTATTGATAAAAACAAAGTTAATTTTGTTCTACTCTATGTATATTTCTACTCTTGTTTAAGGTATTATGTTTATGTTGCTCATTTAAAAATGTAATCTGTAATTAAGAAATACAGATTAATAGTCATTTGTAATAGTCAAACCTATAGTCATGTCAAATATGTCAGATATGTTGAATAGACAGATGGTCCTCAAACACCTGATGGTCCTTGAACCCTTCAAAGACCATGTCTGCTTCGACAGCACAATCTACTTTAAAGAAGATGACAGACATCAAAGAAACTCTATATGGAGTTTACTTTCTTCATAGCAAAAGTTAGATAGTGGGCAAAGAAACTGTCCTTGTCTCAGTTTCTGACTGTTACTGTCCAATCTGGACCAGCAGGGCACAAGAAAGGTGACTGCTGAACTTGCCAAGACAAGGTAGGATAGTCCTTTAGAATTCCCCACTTCTCAAAAAAGTCTATCAGATGTGCTAGGCCTGTAGGCCAGAGTTTAATGCCCCAACATTACATAGAAATTTTGGATATCTATCTAGGCAGCCTGATATCCCTGTCATTAGGTAAAATTTAACCCTTTTGGGATCGTTAATAGAATTGGAGACTAGATAGTTATAGTGTTTTTCTTAGTGATAATAGAAAGCAAATTAGCTTTAAAAAACTTTGAAATTAGCAAAAGATAGATAATAGAATATTTTCTCTAATTTTGCCAAATACAAATGGACTAGATATTGCTACTGTCCTTCTTAATAATTGTTTTTGTTGCATATAGTTTTATTATGTTAAAGTTAAAACCTTCATTTTTTTATTTAAACAAGGGGTTAATGCTCTGGAATAATCTTTTTGTACACTGTAAAAAGCTTTGTCACTCAAATTGGTTTAATAAAACACTCATTGGCCAGTAGCCAGGCAGGAAGTATAGGTGGGATGACCAAACTAAGGATGATGGGAAGGAGAAGGGCAGGGCCAGAAGTCATTAGCCAGATATAGAGGGAACAGGAGATGTGTGTGCCATGCTACTAAATGTACTTCGATGTGGTAGAACATAAATAAGGAATGTTGGTTAACTTTAAATGTAAGAACTTATTAGTAATAAGCCTGAGCTATTTGTCTGAGAATTTATAAGTAATATTAAGTGTCTGTGGTAATCTGGAAGCAGCTACTGGGATGGGGAACAGGGGGTCAGGATAAGAAACTTCCACTTACAGGTATGGATTAGATGCCTTCCTGCTTAGGCTCTGTATTTGGATGTCATGTCTTCTGCTCCAAATGCATGTGATAGAGCAGTTTCCCTCTCCCAAGTCTTTATTTTGATGATTGCTCACTGTATACCTAGAGGTTAAATAAACTGTTGGCTGCCAGGTAATTGAAATTCCGTCTGGCCTGCTAAGTAGATTCCCTTAATTAATTTCTGGAAAAAAAAAGGGTAACCCTTCCTTGTTCATCTGTGTCAAATGGCCAGAGAAAGCTGAAGCCCATCCATCTGTCCATCATGCAGACTTCTCTCGGGCCACTTACCATGTTGAGTATAATACACGTGTAAGACTCTGCATTAGTGGAGTGGTTCATACTTTTACATCTTATGTATTTTCCTCCTGTATTTTACTTTGACTCCTTTTCTTTCAGGACAAAACTTACCCTACACTCTAATTTATATATGGGTTCTTTCCTGCCCAGGCCCTGTATATATTTAACAGCATATGCATATATTTACTATTTAAAATGTATATTTTGTAAACACACAGGAAATTGAATTTGGGTAGATTTTGAGTCTTTTCTCACAATAACCACATGAGATGCTAATTTATAGAAAAATAAGAAGATACAATAAAATTAATTTTGTCTATAATTTTATTCAGCTAGTACAAAGGTTTCTAGCCAAATAGTGTTGTGTCTTTAGACAGACAAAAAAAGAAAACTCTGCGTGTGCCCCCACTGCTTCATGCCACATTGAGGACTAAGAGTGCCCAGTGTCCAAGAGTGCACTGAAGAACCTGGGCATTGTAGCATCCTCCCCAAGGGCCTTGTTCTTCCCCACCCACAGCTTCTTTCTAGACTAAGTTATCTATGTTGTTGAACAAGCATGTTTTATTTTCCTTTGGGGAGTGTCACTTTGTATTATCATCAGCTTTGCCCCATTCTGTGTGAGGATCCCCACGCTCTATCTGTAACAGGCCCTTTTCCTTATCTCCGGTGACATAGGCATTCTTATTGTATGGCATAGGTGCCTATGCAGTCACTTAGCCTTTTCAACCCATGACTGTTGAAATCCTGATTCCTGTTGGATTGAAATATCTATCTATCTATCTATCTATCTATCTATCTATCTATCTATCTATCTATCTATCTATC